TTAGTTCGGAAATACCAACTTGTAGACCAGTGCTGGGAGGGGGATGCCTAAGAATCACTTAGGGAGCCTTTTCTTGAAGACTGGATTCTTGGGCTCTGTCTGTGACAGATGTAGATTTAGGTCTGGGATGGAGCCCAGGAAATCTGTTAAATTTCCTGGGTGATTTTAATATGCAGCCGGACTTGGATTATATTATACCTCTGGAAGCAAAATTTAAACGCATATAACTTTTAGCATAATTTAGTACTTCTCTAATCTTTACTTTTACTATTTAATCTTGGGTTGCAGACTAGTTTTGACTCACTTCTATTAATAAGAGCAAGTCTCGAACACATGGAGGCCACTTCTGGACACCTTTTTACTCTGGTGTAATGGCTTGATCTTTTTAAGTCGCTAATAACAAGGCATCATTTTTGCCTCTTTAGATAATTAACTTACTGTACTATCCCTATTTATCTGCATGCTACACGGGAGAGCTGTGTTTTCTTCCAGCTTGGCTGCCCAACTTAAGAATTATGTGTCTCTCAGAAATCTGCAAGGGCTTTCTCAAAGTCAGAGCAAGCTTTTTCTATGATTTTCTTTCCCAAACTGGGTGCTAAGTTTCCTGCTTTTGATTAGATCATTAACCCATCCATAATTGTTTATTTCTTCAGGAATTACTCCTCCAGCTCCCTTATCTCTGTGCAAGACTTTTTCTTATAAGTTATTATTTTACATAAATGTGTAGTTGCCTTAAATAGTATTGTCTGTGCAGGTACTGGGCATCCTTCTATATTGTGGTAGATGCCCAAACATTGAGAATGAAGCCTCAGGTCATCATCTGTGTTTAGATTTTGTTCTCATTAAATCCCAACTGGATTATTCAAAAATGGGAAAAATTACCTCCCAACACCTCCTTTGAAGCACTTTTTCATATACAATATTTGGGAGCCTCTGGTTTTGTAGATCATATACCTTTTCTATTTTTTTTAATGAATTGGGTTTGCTAAACTGAATTGCATTCCCCCAAAAAGTCTCTTTTTTAGAATGCTTTAAAAAGTGAAAATGAATTAAGATAACTGTGTTAGGTAGCTTGCAGGAGGCGTGGTTTGCACGAATTTCTGGTCTTGCTAGGCCAGGGACTTCATGGAAATAAGTTCCTAGAACCTAGGGATTTACCTAAGAAATCATCCAGTCCATGCTCTCCCAAGACAGAGTGGCTCCTTTTCCTTTAGCACCCTGTCCTTTGCTGCTAAGAGTGGCATGAGGGGGTTGTTCATGAGAGGGCCAGAGAGCCTGGGACAGAACACGTTTTACAACTTACACTCTTTGGGACACTCAGCAAATTATTCATTCTTTATAAACCTCAGTTTCTCTGTGCCTTACCTCATAGGGAGGTGATACAGATTCATTAGGGTTTGTAGGCGCTGTAATTCTTAGTTTTAGAAAAGAATATAAACACACACACACACTATGTGAAGCCAGGTTATTTTCCTGAAAGGTGTTGTCTCTATTGAACATATTACAGCAATTCTTGTCATTCTGTTAGGAATTACTATACAGATCATCTAGTCAAACCTGATGAAAAAGATATGTCAAGCTAAGTAAATTATGTTTCTGATTAAAACACATACACATGGTCACATGTATATACATATACACACAATGTGGTCATAAAATCCTGAAGCTGATTTTCTTGGGTGCCTATATTGGCTCAGCAGGCAGTTCCTGGAGAGGCATTTCAAAATGTTTTCAGTTTTGGTAGCATTATTGAAGTATGTTGCAACAAACCTCCCAAGGCAATTCCTTTTCCAGAGAGAGAGCACATTTATTTTTATTTTATTTTGCTGAGTGTTTTTGCTTTTGCCAAATCTTGATAATCTTTGTGGTCTTTGAGGCATAAACCAAAATTAATTTTCAAATAAGTAGCAGAGT